CAGGTCTCCAGTCCATCACAGGGACACCCTAGACAGGTCTCCAGTCCTTCACAGGGACATCTGGACAGGTCTCCATGTAACGAGCGCTTAACTGCCGTTTATTTCTTATTGCCATGGCAACCCCAGAAGTTGGCAACTCGCTGTTTTCCTGTGGTCAAAATATATTTACTTCTTTGAGCAATATTCTATATTCAGGAACGTCCAATGTTTGCAACATGTTTTTTAGAATTTATGTGGTTAAATGATTTGTTTGAAACACTTTATAACAGCGAACCAGAAGCGGGACTGAAAGTAAAATAAGACAAACGGAAGAGCGCAGAGGCTCCCTCATATTTCTGCAACTGCTTTTTAATTGGTGACCACTGTAATGTTAATAATTGTAAAGTTACATTGTTAAGTTGTGAGAGAAAGAAAAACGAAGTCTATTATATGTTGTTGACGGAAGTTTATGCTGAAAGACATTTTTTTTTTTTATAGTTTTCACGTTGTTCCGTGGTTCTAGAGTGGAATAAAGAAACTGGATATCAGTATGAAGCTTGAATTTTTGAGACCAGTGCAGTTGCACTCCAGTCCATCACAGGGACACATTTAGAGACAAACAACCATTTTCTCTCACCTAGGGACAATTTAGAGTCACCTATCAGCCTAACATGCATGTTTTTGGTCTATGGGAGGAAACCGAATACCTGGAGAAAACCTATAAAAGGTCCCTAGACGGGATTCGACCCGGCAACCTTCTTGCTATAGGGCAACAACTCTACAAACTGAGCCGTCTTTGCAGCTGTAGACCCTAAACTGTGGGAGCATCTGTCCCCGTCTATTAAACAGGCTTCAGCCTTTCACTTAAAGCTCAACATGTATTTGTGTTTATTGGCTTTAAATGGGAGTAGAACTATTTCCATCATTTGTTTTCCATCTTTTGTCCTTTACACTCTATTTTTCACATTTTCTTACTGTTTTATGTACAGCACTTTGACAGTGTCAGTTCTTAAATTCTTGTCTGTAATTCCACTGGAACATGAACAAGAATGACGTGAACAGAATAATGGTACAATCAGAAAATGACATACCGTATAAACTGGTTTAATAAAATGTATTTTCACTTGTTTTCACTTTTCTCAAGCTTTTATTTTAAAATCGTGCACATTTTATTTTTTTTCCATTCGACCCACATTCACATTTATACTCGGGCATCTTGTGCTTTTAAAACTTGATACATCATCGTTACCAAACCGTCCAGGTTTGGACCCATTAAATCAAAAAGAATGGTTTCTCTGTTAATTATGCAAACATCACTAATTAGCCCTTGAACAAAGAGCTTTCATAATCATTAAATGGTTTCTCGTTCAATGATGACTTTAGTTTTTATCTTTTTTGTCACGGTTTTTAAAGTTCATTTGAAGCAGATCATCACAGTTCCTCCATTTGGTGTTTCACAACCCATGGTGGGGTTCTGACCCGACATGACCCCTGGTCTAAGCTGTTGTTCAGCTTTGTTTTTCTTGTTTATTTACTGTTTACTTTTCAGCTTCTGACACACAAAATAAAGGACTTTTGAACAAACTATTGCTGGTTGAAGAAGACGAACACTGCACAGCCAAATAGCTGACTCAACAACCATTTTGCTGTTTCTGTCCATTTGAACAGTTTTAAAAGTCACGGCGTTTGTGCTTATACAGTAAAGCCACAGAATTAAAAGGTACTTAAAGGTTTCCTATTAGCCAAACCACTGGTCCACAAGGTGTGATCAGGGATCCCACTTTGGATCATAAAACACCAAGTTAGGGTCTTGAGATGCACTCCAGAAATTTAAATTTGTTCTAGAATCGCACCGCTCGGGGGGGGTGCTGCATGTTGGAGCAGCTCTGTCACGTTCATTCTGAGTTTTTACTTTTGAAAACTTTAATTCCTCATCACTTTTTCGGATGATTATTTCCTCTGGTGTCAGATGCTGCGCAGCTGGAAGGATCTTTACTGAAACTTTTTTTTTTTTTTTACTTTGGGGCATTTGTTATGATGCGTAACCATGGCAACAAGGTGTTTTTGTTTTTAACAACCAGGAGCAGCTGATTAACACCTCAAAGGCTCAAATATCTCAACTACAGCCCCAAATCTCAAATGAGTTAAAAAGGAGGTGCTGTGGATGAATTCACGTCAACCTGGCAGCGGTGCTCGAGCCGCCGAGATCCTGCAGCTGGTGGGAAACTTTGCTCGTCGTGACAACAGGAGGACCGGGATCGTCCCCCGGCACCTTCAGCTGTCTGTGGCGACGAGGAGCTCGGCAGACGGCTGGGAGGAGCGACCATCGCTCAGGGAGGAATTCTGCCAGGCATTCGATCAGTCCTGCTGCCCAGGAGGACCGAGAGGCCCGCCACATCTGACAGCAAGCTGGATCCGAGTGGACAGATGGATATCTGTGGCCAGATTCTTCAGATTCACTGCAGGAGATCCTTCCTGCCCACAGCTATCAGCATCTATAACAACTCTTCAGTGAAATGAGGATGATGAGCTTCGACGACACTTAAGTTCCCTCTGGGATTAACAAAGTATTTTTGAATTGAATTGAAATACATTTCAGAATGTTTGTTTGTGTCCTCTTCACAAAGAGTTGCGTTTGTCAAACATTTGCAGTCAAACAACCTGATTTACTCACTTTTCTTTTGTCTATAAATGTCTATTTCCTCCTTCAGCCATTGTTGTTTATTATAGAAATATGTACAAAAATATTCAGTATTTGAGCTTTAATGCAAGTGTTGTTAAAGGACAACCTTTTC